CTCTCTCTCTCTCTCTCTCTCTCTCTCTCTCTCTCTCTCTCTCTCTCTCTCCCCTTCTCTCTCTCCTTCTCTCTCCCATTCTCTCTCTCTCTCCCTCTTCCCCTCCTTCTCTCCTTTTCTCTCTCTGTATGTGTGTGTGTGTATGTGAGTGAGTGTGTGTGTGTGTGTGTGTGTGTGTGTGTGTGTGTGTGTGTGTGTGTGTGTGTGTGTTCATACACTCTGATTCTTTAAAAAGAAAATACTCGTAAATAATTGAGAAAACAAATGAACGTTACTAAATTAAACAAAGTGTAAATTGTCCACAAAATTAAAAACAAAAATCAAAAGTAATAATAAAAAAAAAAAAGAAACCAAAGACAAAAAAGCCCAGCTCTTGACCTTGGTGGACTAATCATAATAGTACATGTACTGTTATAATCACGTGACCACCCAGTAGCACCGGTGGTTAAATGCCAGGAGTGAATGAACGGTCAGCGGCCACAGCGGGCAGGTACAGGGAGAGGCCGAGGGGGCGCCGACTTGCCTTCTCGTCTGAATGACCACTGACCAGTGTCCTATACCCTGGGACATAGGACCAGGGTATGAATGGTCAGCGGGTATAGAATCGGTGTAGTTCTCTAAACGTATAAGTCCGGATTTTTTCCCGAGTTCGTTTATATATTTATTTGTTTAAAGATTTTTCTGGTGGTTCCTTTCGCTTCAGAGCGAGATTCCTCATTGTATACATGAAGATCACCTCTATCTTACTTATAGAATTAGTATTTCTACGAGTACCATGCGATCTTAAAGAAAAAAAATGCTCCTTCTTTCTTAACGAAATCTGTAGTTCTCATCTCTCCTTTTTCTTTTTTGTGTATGTTACATTCTTGTAACACATCTAATCTTCTGCTCTTATTATATCACAAAAATATTGTTGCAAGTGCTGTAAAACTCTCACTAAAACAAAAGCTAAAATACAAAATTTCCCAAACGAAAAAAATTTAGTTTACATGTTTCACAATTCTGGTGGCAGACTTACACGTTTAGAGAATGCCACAGGGTGTACGTGTTGTGTGTCTCAGGGAGAGGCCGGTGGAGGCGCCACCTTGTTGTCCCGTCTGACTGACCACTGACCACCCTGCCTGCTCAGCTGTCAGCTCTGACCACTGTCAGTTCCTGTCAGGCCCGCGCCGGCGACATTCTGCGAAGCCACGAATATCGAAAATACCAAAGAATGCGTATCTGTTGTGTTTTGCGTTTGTATGTTTTGAAGTTACCAGAAAGCAAAACTGGTCATATTGTGAACACTGCAAGAAAATGACAGAGGAAACGTAAGAATATAAAAGCAGAAACAAAAGAGGAAACTACAAACTGATCGACACAATATTATTAATATTATTATTAAGCAGCAGAAAAAAAAGACAGACTGATAAAGACGACAGACGAAAAATAAGTACTAACAGACATAAATCACTGAGGGTGAGTAAAGAAGTAGGACCTGCCAGTCGACTCTCCAATATTCCGTAAATTGAAACAGCAGAAACGAAACACCACCACCACCACAAACAACAACAACAACTGCAACTACAACAAAAAATCTACAACAACAAACACATGAAAAGAATACATTAATAAACAAAAATAAACTCAATCAGACAATGAATCACGAGCATACGGTTTAAATAGCACGGCATGAATCATGACACCAGTACGCTCAGTGCCGTTGGGTGTTTGGGTGTGAGTAGAGAGATAATCTCCTCAGTGCTCGTCCACATCGCCGTGAGTGACGTCGTCCGTTGCTCGTTCACAACCCGGAGCTCCAAGAGCTGCCCTTATCTCTTATCATTCCCGCCCGTGACAGCCAACTCTCACAGTGTCAAGCGCTATCACGGTTTTCAATTTACCGCTTCTTGCTGGAATAAATTATTATTTTTGCTACTACACTCCGTGGGCCTCCTCTCTCCTTCTGGTATGCCATCGGGTTCTCGAGGTTTTCATGTGTCAGAACTGTCCGCCAAAACGGCTTGTCGCTCGGTGGGATATTTGTAGAAGTCTTGATACCATCGATAACATTGCTTGCTCCTGGGACGAGGGAGACACAACTGCAGGTCCCAAAAGAGAAAGTCGTAGTATTGTTGGCCGTAATTGCTGTACCTTGTACTCACGTAAAAACACACATGAACGTAGACGAATACTCACTCCTATCCCGCACGCACACACACACACACA